CTTCGACAGCGATTCCGATGGCCCGACCTCATTACCGATGTCACCCGGTATTGCGACTCTTGCGAAGTTTGCCGACGCAGCAAGCCCCGCAACCGCAATCCCTACGGCGAGTTACGCCCGATGCCTATCCCACGGGAACCCGGTCTCTCGGGCACGACGGCATCCTCACGGTTGTGGACTGATTGAGTAAGTACGCGCGTTTTCTCCCTTGCAAGTACTACTCCACGGCTCCCGAGTTGGCACGCCTCCTGCACACTGGTTGGATTTGTGGCCACGGTGTACCAGAAGACATTGTCAGCGACCGTGACACTCGTTTCATGTCGGCGTTTTGGACTGCTCTCATGCAGGAGTCCGGCACAACAATGAAACCAAGTTCGGCTCGACATCCTCAGACAGATGGGCAGACGGAGCGGGCACATCAAACCGCTCAAATGATGCTTCGTACGCTCATTCGTCTGGACCAGAAAGATTGGGTTGACCGCCTCCCCGACATCGAGTTCGCCTACAACAGTTCGGTGCACCCGGCGATCGGCGTGACTCCATTCGAGTTGCACCGCGGTGGACGGAAAGGCCGCATCTTCGCTGACCTTCTCCTCCCTCGACCAGCCGACATTGACGCCGCTTGCTCCCCCGCTTCCGTTCGCAAGACAGGGACTTGCTGACTCAAGCCCGCACAAATATGCAAAAGGCTCAAGTTCGCATGCAGCAGCAAGCCAACAGGCGTCGCGTACCATGTCCCATCCACGCCGGTGATCTGGTTTGGGTCTCCGCAGAAGAGTTTGCACTGGAACAGGAAGTTTCACGCAAACTGCTTCCCAAGTGGTTTGGACCTTGGTCTGTGACAGCAGCCGCGGGCGATGAGCCCGATGGCCCTTCATTTGTGATCAACATTCCAGAGCATCTGACGGTCCATCCGGTCTTCCACGCCTCGAAGCTGGCAACATACACACCAGCCAAGAGCGACAACTTTCCGGGCCGACGATCGCAGGACCCTCCTTCTATGGATGGCCATCAGGAAGTTGACCGCGTCATCATCGATCGCAAGTACGGCAGCAAGCCGCGGCAGTACAAAGTCACATTCAAAGCATGCGATCGCGACGACACTCGGTGGATTTCAGGAGCATATTTGAAAGCATCAGCACCGCTGATCTACGCTCACTATGAACGTCAAAGGTTAGCCAAGGGACCTCCACGACCTGCCCCTCCCACCCGGACTGTGGTCCCTCCCTCAGACAGACAGCTTCGCCCTCGCAGGTAAGCTCGGTCTTTCAAGGAGGGGGGGGTGTGGCATACTGCGTAGCCACACGGGCCCTGTAGGACCTGTCCCGGACATTCAGCCTAAAAGCCTAAAACTTAGGATCTACAGGCCCCGGTCGTTTCAGCCTGAAAACTGAAAAACGAGGGCATGCAGGCCCTACTCCGTTTCAGCCTATTTCTGGGTCTTTCAAACCCAGAGTTTTTCCAGCCTGAAACGGAGGGTTATTCTTAGGCCCTGGGCTATTTTTAGGCCCTCATTTGTTTCGACCTGCCCTAAGATTCAGGCACGAAAACTGGGTTTCGGAACAAGCTATTTCTGGCCTGTTCCCACGCCAGCTCGAGCAGGAGCTGCAGCTGCAGCCCCTGCCTCCCTGCGGCATTATTGGCAAGAGCACGAGCAGGAGCTGCAGCTGCAGCCCCTGCCTCCCTTCGGCATTATTGGCAAGAGCACGAGCAGGAGCTGCAGCTGCAGCCCCTGCCTCCCTTCGGCATTATTGGCAAGAGCAGCCTCCTGGACTGCTCGCCCGAGTCAGGAGTCCCTTCGGCATTATTGGCAAGAGCAGCCTCCTGGACTGCTCGCCCGAGTCAGGAGGCACCCATGATAGTACATAGGAGCTTCAGGCACTGAACGGSTAGGCAGTTGGAGAGTAGGACGATAGTCTTCAGATTTCGGCCGCAGCACTCAGGAGGAGCGCTGCAGTAGTCTTCAGCGCTAGGCAGTAGTAGTAGCGCTAGTAGTAGTCTTCGGCGCTGGGCGCCCATAGCCATAGYTGTAGTCTTCAGCGCTGGGCGCTAGTAGGTGGTAGTAGTTGCAGTGGAGGGAGATGGCTGGTGGAGGCCAGCGGTACTTACCTGTGGCGCCATAGCTCCAGCTCCATCTTCGAGGTACCTGCATCAAGGCGCCAACTTCACAGGTTAGTACTGGACAAAGAGAGAGAGAGAGAGAGAGTTCTTCTTCTTCCTCTTCTATGTCCACCATCTTTTCTTCCCCTCTCACCACCTGACTTCTCAGTATCAGCGGACTACTACAGAGAGAGAGAGAGTTGTGACTTGAGACTTGACGACATTGGATCCAGACTCGACATTTGGGGATTCAGACATTTCGACGAGGGACTATTTGGGCCTGTGCTGAACACTTGGTGTTGACGACATTCCCATCTTCCCCTCTTCTTCGTCTAACCCCCATCTCCTTCGTCT